TTTTATAATTTATAATTTATAATTTTATATTTCTGTAAAACTTATAATTAATAATTTATTTCGTTGACTCCGGTATTTATTTTCGCCAAGCGCCTCTTTGACTCAGCTACTAGTCGTTAGTCGTTACGACGTTACCTACCCCTCGTTGACTCCGTTAACTTTTTCGTTACTGTGTTTTACATATTTTAACAACGAATAAAATATTTTTGTAATATATTATACCAGATTTTCCCATAAAGTATACCAATTACAAAAAACGACTTACATGAGTTCAAGCATCCTGCAAGTTTTACTTGTACATACAGCATTACAACGTGTACAACGTCGAATACTCATCGACTTCATCGACTACTATGAAACCTTTTTAAGATGCTTCTTCAGGACGTCCATGACAGCTCCGTACTCCGCCGCCACCTCCGCCGGCGGATTTGCAAACTTGGAAGCTATTTCTTTTATCGACTTTGAATGATAATCGATCTTCGCTTGAGTAAACTTCAATCCATGGGCAGTACTGACCACCACCGTCCGATCATTCTTCCCAATCACACCTCTCTCCCGGAGCTTCATCAGAGCCACCAGTGCCACCCCGGTGTGAGGACAAACAAACATCCCGGTTGAGTCTGCCACGGCCATCGCATCCATCAGCTCCTCCTCTGTCGCCTCCTCCACTATTCCATCGGAGTTCGTTAAGGCATACACTGCTCTGTCGATGGAAACAGGGTCTCCGATTTGGATAGCGGAAGCGAATGTGGTGGTAGCTTTCACCGGAGAAAAGTTTTTCCAACCGGATTTGTAATGGAGGTAAAGCGGATTTGCGTTGCAGCTTGAGCGCAAACCAGCCGTGGAATCCGATCTACTAAACCTAGTTCTTGACACATTTTAAAACCTTTGTAAAATGCGTAAATGTTACCTAAATTTCCTCCCGGAATTATCACCCAATCCGGAACTTCCCAATCAAATTGCTGCAAAATCTCGATCGCCGCCGTTTTCTGACCTTCTAATCGCAAACTATTCAGTGAATTCGCAAGGTAAATCGGTAATTCAGACGTAATTTCTCGAATTAGTTTCATGCATCCATCGAAATCTGTGTCCATGCTTAATACAAAAGCTCCATTTGCTATTGGCTGAACTAATTGCGCCATTGAGATCTTATTTGCTGGTAAAAATACTATCGACGGAATTCCGGCAGCGGCGCAGTAGGCGGAGAGTGCGGCGGAGGTGTCTCCGGTGGAAGCGCAGCCAACGCCGACCAATGGTTTATTCATTTTACGGAGGCGATTAACTTGGCTAACTAAAACAGTCATACCTAAATCCTTGAAGCTTCCGGTGTGACTAATACCACAGTGTTTCACCCATAAATCATTCATGCCGCCGAGATGATGCTTTCCGTAACGCTCAGCCCAAAAGAGGTTGGAGTTGCCTTCGAAGGCGCTTATGATATCGTCGTTGTCAATTTCCGGCAACACCCATTCTTTTTTGGACCATACGCCGGAGCCGTACGGCCAGGTGGTGCGGCCGACTCGTGAGTCGAAGAGTGTTCGCCAGTATTTCCCGTCGAACTGTTTCAGAGCCTCCATGTCGTGTTGGACATCCAACAGGCCACCGGAGCGGCTCCTGTAGATAATATCGTCGAGGGAGTAGCATTCCTCGGTGACGGCGTTGAAGGGGACATATTTGGCGGAGAACGGAAGAAGAGAAGGGATCGACTGACGGTTGTTACCGGAAGTGGTTGTCGTGATGATAGGTGGTGATGAGGTACAACTGATGGTGGTGGGTTTTGACGAACGGAGGTTATGGAAGTGGCGGCAAGGTGGTGGAGGGTGGCGATGTTTTGGGAAGAAGGTGGTGGCCGGAGCTGAAGCCATATTCGAGAGAAAGGGGAGTGGGTGGTGGTGAAGAGTCAGGTGCTCGTACTTTTATCTAAAATCGGATATCGGATATTAATTAAGATATAAGAACATATGAATCACATGAGAAATAAATATTCATTTATTGAATTTATACTAGAAAGGTTACCCGCTACGCGGGGTTATATGACAGACATAGGAAGTGCAAGGATGAAAAGTCTGGGCTTTGCCCCGGACAAAAAATGTAAAAGTTTTGACTGCAAGGACCAGAAATGTGAAAATGGCTAAAAAATTAAAAGGATAGGAATTAGCAACTTTTTAGAAAAGAGATCAAAGTTGTCAAACCATTAAAGTTTTGTGGCCAAACTTTAAATATTAAAAGGTTCCAAAAAAGTGTAAAAATATTGATTGTAAGGACCAAACGTGTCAAAAATGGGTAAAGAATAATGAACAAAGTTGCCAAAAAACATCCAAATTTAGTATTCCTAACTTCCAACAATAATACAGGGACCAATTCTGCCAAAAAAATGGAAAGATGAATGGAACACAAACAAAAGGACATGAATAAATTAATTAAAGAAGTACAGGGACCGGATATGTAAATCAAGAAACCAAACCTGAACAAAATATCTCAAGTTTACTATTCCTTTCTTCCACAACTTTAATATATATATAATAATTTGTTTTCCATAATTTAATTTTTTAATTTTATATTACAAATATGTTATTCTAATCCCACTTTTAGAAGTTGATCGAGTGTATTTAACTTGTTACTTGTTTATCTTATTTATTGATGAATGCTTACACGTTCGTTGAGATAGTCAAAAGAAAAAAATACAGATCTACTATTTTGTTTTATTTCTACAACATATTGTATTCTTATTTGTTTTTTTAGACCTTGGGGTTGTGAAGCAGAACATTGAAGAGATGAGGGAAACGGTGAGTTTGAGTTTGAGTTTGTTATTATTTTTCAAAACAGATGTACATATCTTTAGTTGTACATGATTTTGAATCCTGAACTTCAATGTTTTTTTTTAATTTATCATAGTGCTATAGTTATATTTTTGACATACGATTTTTATAATTATAGGATTATTTTGTTGTTGTTGATGATGAGTATGAGGAGAAACCTAGAAGTGAGCCATGTTTGCTGTTAATGGTTTATGTTTTGTGTTTTTAACTTGAATTTGTCCATTATTTCGAGGTAAATATCCATAGTATCTTTAGATTTTGTAGGTGATTTTTCTAACTCTGATGTCAAGTTTGAGGTAAATTTCAATATCTCAAGTTGTGCATAATTAGGGTGGTTGTGATTTTGGGTAAATTGTTTCAGGGTTATATAAGTCTTGTTGCTCGTTTAAATCTTGATAATACCCTGGCAAAGTATTCATAAATGATACCAGTAATAGTAAGTTACTAAAAAATATTATTTCGCTCCAAAAGAAATTAAAAATTACAATTGTCATCTTCTTTAAGTCTTGGCATCTTGAAAATCTACTCAAACTACATTGCTATTTCTTATATTTAACCCATCTTTTTTAGATATAGACATCAACTAATTTTTCTATTTTAGTGAAGGTTTGACAATTTGGATTGAAGATTGAATAAGGTTGATTTACAATGAAGGGGGTTGCTAGAGAATATACACATACATAGAAAGGTGGGTTGAGGAGAAAATACACCTGACAATGTATTATCTAACTTAAGCCACTATATATTATTTATAATTCTAAAGGGTTAAAATGCAATAAATGGCAAAGGACTTGATGGTTTTTAAAATTTTGGCACAATGCTAAGAAATCTCCTGAAGTGTTAATACCATAATTTTTTTTATCAAAACTATTATATTCAGCTTTGGATATCATGTGCGAGTGATGAAAATTAGAAGAATGTGAATGAAAAAATCTTGGAAATTAAAACTCAAAATTAATGCAGGAGCAACCCAAAAGAGGGGAAATGAAATGGAACCAGAATAGTTCAATTACTTCCAAAAGTATGGTAAACATACCATCTTTTAGGTTCCTATTATTTTTTAATGGGTTTTTGACACTGTGTAACAAAGAAGTTTGATCAAGTTACACATTTAGTCACTCAAGTTTTTTTTGCACAATTAATCACTAAAGTTATAATTTACGTGTCAATTACACCATTTTGTTCCCTGATACCGGAAGAATCGGTAAATTTACTGACGTGGCATTTTAATTTTAAAACACATTAAAAAATTATGAAGGCCTCGTACACTTCCTTCTCCTTCCAGTGGAACTCCTTCTCCTTCCAATGGCAATGTACTCCCTTCAAGGTAGTGATGACGAACGCCATCTTCTTTCTAGATCTATCGGAACCTCCTTCTCTCGTTCTCCCCTCCTACGGACCCAAACCTCCCTGCAAAGTCTCTTTTCCGATACCCATTCTTCCACTGTGAGTGAGATAGAGAGAAAGAGTTATATGGAGAAATTGAGTGGGATTGAAGCATGTTACTGAGTCACAGGGACAGTGAAACGCGGTGGTTGCCACCACCTGATTAGTTTGTAGATGGGAGAGGAAACGATGTCAATGGTGTCGAGCCGAGTGACCCACTATAGCAGTCAACGACATCCATCTAAGTGACCACACTCCGCCTATGAATCAGAGAACGAAACCCAGAATCAAGCAATCCATATGAACATAACCAACTACAAAACACAACAGATGAAGTTGTTTGATTGAAATCAGTTGCAGGTTGAAGGCTACAAAACCCAACATCATTGACTGCAAAACCTAGCAAATGAACATACATGTGTTTGATTAAAGGGGAAATGCTACATACACATGAAGATACCTAAAAATGGAAGCACTCTCCATTGCAACCTATGATTAGAAAAAAAATGAAGATCGATACTTTGACCCTGTGAAGAGCACCGACTGAACCTCGTTCCTACAATTATCCTTCTGTACACCAAAATCAAAGCATTAACCGCCTAATTTCTGTAAACGATTTGACTATATGTATTAAAAACGATGTTTGGGAATGGAAACAAGAAATCCATCAGAAATTAGAAATCAATTGGCCTACAAATATGAAATTCATAACTTAAATGGCAGATCAAATTAACACATAACCACCATTGGATTGTAGAAACATGTAGATGAGTGTCGCTGTCGGCTGAAGAAGCAGCACCAAAGGAGGAAGAAAAGATTTGTTTCATGTGTGCGTGTTTGGAGTAAGGCGCAGAGTTTCCACAGCTAGGATTTCTCTAGGAGGGTATATCACGACCTTCAATGGAAGCCATGATTTTTAAGGTTCATAAGAACAGGATGAGAAGGAGGTGGAAGCCATGGTTTTTTAGGTTTCATAAGAAGAGGAGAATGATGTGCGAAGAAGAAGAACCACATGCGTGTGAAAGAGGCTGAACAATTTAGGGCTTTTTTGTTTTTTCAATTTTAAAGAAAATAAAAGGAATTAGAATATCAATGTCTATATGAGGTGGACTACTTACGGCCACATCACTATGCCAACTAAGCCTGGTTAACTTGGTAACCGGCTAATTTTAGTTTCAATCACCTAATTAACATGTGAAATGCAACGTAAAGGATCTATTATGCAAAAAAAAAATACTTGAGTGGCTAAATGTGTAAATTCGTCAAACTTCCTTGTGCTACAGTGCCAAAAACCCTTTTTTAATTTCAAACATGTAATAATATCTTGATTTTGTGATTTATCTGGCTTTAACATATCAATTTTCCATTATGTAGGGTTTTATTTTGAAATGCCAATTGTTCCAAGAGACCAAGCATCTTTTTGATAATTCTTCTACAAACTTGACAATCCAACATTTCAATTTCAAAATTTGTTAGTTTCTGTGGATGTTTATGTTCATGTTCATGTTTAGTATTTCTGTTGTTTCTCACGATATTTTCTCATCAATCTCACTGTGTATTGTGTAACCGAATAATTTGGATGTAAAAAATGACAATTTACAAAATTAAAATGAATAAATACATGGCAACATGTTAAACTAGGTGGTGGATTGTAACATCCCAAAATTTATGACCGAAATTTCATTTTTAAATAAGTCATTATAAAAACCAATGGTGTAAAAACATTCATAATATCATCCCATGTCAAAACCAGTATATCAATAATCAAAACATGTCATCATAAAACAATATCAGAGTATAATCCCAAAGATCTCGTGTGCGGAAAAACATAGTGTGATGCGCTGTGATCGAGCCGACTCCTTTCCTTTGAAAACGAAGTACCTGAAACCAAAATTGAAAACTGTAAGCATGAAGCTTAGTGAGTTCCCCCATTATTCCTCATACCATATAAGCACATAATGCCTAGCATATCTGGGTGCTGGCCTCCCCTTCCGTATCTTTCAACCGGTAACTGCCAAGTATAACTGGGCGCTGGCCTCCCTTCGGTATCTTTCAACCGGTAACTGTCTAGCATAACTGGGTGCTGTCCTCCCCTTCGGTATCTTTCAACCGGTAACTGCCTAGCATAACTGGGAACTGGCCTCCCCTTCGGTATCTTTCAACCGGTAACTGCCTAGCATAACTGGGAGCTGGTCTCCCCTTCGGTATCTTTCAACCGGTAACTGGGGACTATTTCACCCCTACCACTACCACATAATAACATAACATACTAGCACATAAAGCATAACGGATAGTGGCATACCATACAATTATCCCAAAGACAATCATCTCAAACATTATCACCTACTGGTGGGCCGGCATTGGTGCCTTAGACCCACCTCAATTGGAAGGTAACTCACCTCATGTTGTTGAACTTCACTGCAAGAAATCCTTAGCTATTGTCCTGGCAACTCTTCGAGCTATCAATACCAAAATATCACCCAATTAGCAATTGGGTTCTATATCATGATTCATAATCCATACTTGGGTAAAATAACCATTTTACTCCTGGCCCACAAGATACTTAGCTAAGGCCCAAGTCCAAAACCAATCAAGTCCAAAACTTCCAAAATCCATAAGAGCCCACTAATGGCCCTTTAATGGCCCAATTGAAACAACCC